ATCATTGTTCCATGGTTTTGATTAGTTTCCATGAACAATCCTCCTATCCATACGGCTTGAAAAACCGACTCCAAAAACCCTTTTGTTCAGGTTGTACTTCAACTTGTTCTGGTACAGGGTAGCGCTTTGGTTCTTCTGATGTCACAACTTCTACTGTGCTTGTCACTGGTTCAGGTTCAGGATCGGCTGGCTGCACTGGATTTTGATCGGTAAACGTAGTCATATCCTGTTTAGGAGCATTTAATAGAAGCTGCATAGACTCAATCTGTTGATCTTTGGCTTCAAGTTGCTGTCTTTGGAAAACTTCACGTTCATGTGCCAAATTTAATTGTTGTTTTAAAAAATCTACTTGTTGTTTTAGGATGTCTACTTCTGTCTCTTTTTGTAGCCCAGTAGACTGTAACGTGGCTACATCCTGTTTTTTCTGTGCAGGTTCTCCAAAGACACGAATTGCTTCGGAAAGGTCAATTTTACCATCTCTATTTTTTGATAAATCTCCTTTATTTATACGCTTATAAATGCTTTGTCGATTCATGCCATATAGAGCTGCTAACTCCAAAACAGATAATGCTTTCATGATGTAGCCTATATTGTTAAGAGGTACATTTAGGAGACATGTAACGTTACATTATCGAGTTACATATAGCCAACTTTTTTGAGATAAGGGTAGAGTTCCTTAAATTTATCTACATCTTGCAACATTTCCGCAATTCTTATTGCAAATTGATCAAAGCCCTCTGTTCCTTGAGAGTATTTCCCTAGCTCTGGTAATCGACAGAGTTTATTTGCAAATAGATGGCGTTGAGCAACAGTCATTTTAAGAGCCAGTTCCTCTAAATTGATCTCAGTATTTTTGGTAGGCTTGGCAGCAGATTTCTTTTGTTTAAAGCTGAATGAGAATCCTGTAATGGTTCTACCAGTCTTGTGTTGTTCAACTTTGACAGTAATATCGGTATGTTCATTTACTTGTTTTAAAGCAATGTCTAAGACATATTTTTTAAAGTCATACATCCGTTTGTATTCAGTATCGAGAACACCTA